CTCTAAGTCAAAAATCTACCTATGCTCCGCTGCTTACTTAGCAAAAAAAAAAAAAAAAAAAATAAAAAAAAATCGGATCGTCCTATTTTTTCGATTATTTCGATATTCGGATATGGACGCAAATCCATCGCCCGATTTATCGATGAGGTTGGGACGTTCATTCTAAACAAAGATTTAACAGACTGCACGGACTTGCGGGCCCCGGTTTTTGCGCACGCGCCCAACAGCTCGCGGCAACGCCGGCCCAAACAGCCGAATACGCCGCCCCCTTTGCTCCATTTAGACAGATATCTGAGACAGGCGCGTCTTTTTCTCTTCTGGCGAAAACTGGGCGCAATCCAACCGCATTTCGGGATGTGACAGCGTGAGGCATCTCCAAACGGTCTATATTTTTTTTTGGAGTTTCGCGCCTCATGGCTAAGAGTAAGCTGTCCTACAAGAAAATGCCAGAAATCTCCAATCAGCGATGACGCCTCGCTCAATGGCCGCCTACAGCGATGACGGGCCACTACTGCGAGTTATAGATATGTCTATCACAGCAACTTTTTTACGAAGTGTCGTACGAGCGCTCCACGTTGGGGTTGCGCTGGCCTAGCCATGCTATCTTCAAACGCCTCCCGCCGTGCCGGCGCCTGATACGTGACGTGCGAGTTTTACCAACCTAGATACCCCGCGCTAGCCCTGGCACGGCACGTCTGCCGAGCACTGCGCTGGCATGGCGAAGCGCGAATGACTGCGAGCACGGGTGGCTGCCGTGCCAGTTTTTACACGTAAGCTAAGTAGATACTCGCAAAGCCAGCAACAGCAACAAAAACTCGCCACTCGCCACGCCAGCGCGCTCTGCATGCAGCAGCAGCCAGCAATGCCCACGAAGCGCCGCCATAGCCGAAGCCGGTGGTGACGAAAACTGCGCGATGGTTACGCTTCCCGCCTATACGGATTCGCGCCGCCCGCCCTCCTTCGCGCGCGATTCTGTTATAGCGCGGCAGATCCGCAGATCCTGGACACACCGAGGGTCGCACGAGCACACCGTCGCGTGGCCGCCCGTACGTCCCGCGCAAGTTGCCGCGCTTAACGCCTCCGGCGCGTCGGGGAACAACGCATCTTTTGCGCAACGCCATTCTGTACCCGGTCTCTCTGATCAGCATTTACTCAATGATAAGATGAACCTTGGTAAACACACTAAACTGTAACACAGAATACATATTGTTCAGTCGATCCCATAGTCAATCTCTAAAGCGATTCCATTTGCTCTGCTTCCATGTGTTTTGCCTACATTATGGTTAGCTCTAGTAACTATAGCCCGCGTACAGTTGCCGCAGCGGCTATAGACCGTAACATGGCCATTTTTGATGAGTTTTTTCTGACAACTTTTAGCTAGATAACATGACATTGTTTTCAAAATGTGAACACTTGGATAGTAGTGTTAAGAATCGCGTCCAAAACCGGAGCCTCGAATTTCGATTAAATCTCCCTTGAACGAGCGTGTAACCGAAGTAGTAAACGGCCTGCGGCCGCGTAAGCACGATAGCATGCGTATACTATATAGTACGCGATCGATCGCGTACATCCAAAGCCGGCCGCCCGCCATCCTACCGACCTTCCGGCTCTGTTATGAAGTAGCCGGCCAGGGCTCTATACGACTGTTTCCACGTGTAGGAAACGTAGGTACGAACTGTTTCACTTCTCCGCAACGAAGTTTTGTTTAGTTAAAATATTTTGGGACTCTCTTTAGGTAAATAAAAATGACAAGAGTCGCGGAAATATTTTAATATGTATGATCGGCGGGCGTTATCTTTGAATTTTATTTTTTCTTGAAACCATCTAAAAGTGACCGCAGTTCGCACATTTATCACTCCGAATGTGAATTGGGCGGGTGACCCGAACCAAACGTAATTTTTTGGCTCGGCCTTAACTAATCATGCCTTTTTTACTGTACGTTTTAAATAGCTCACCTGGGATAAATCCTCATGGCCCAGCTGTACTGAAACTACAGTGCCACTACATAGGGCGACACGCGGAGGAGGAGGTGGCTATCGACCCCCCAGTACCGTTAAGGCCATTGCCGAAGCAGCAGCCAACAACTATGGCCTACTCGCCCGGATGACGGCAGGTTTCTCGCCTTGGGCGCTCCTCTTTCTCTGCATTGTTTATTAGTTGTAGTAAGAAACAAATTTAAGCTTAATTTAATGTTTTTCTACACAGAACGTAGAATTACTTCTAATAGCTGGTTCATTTTTCTGCTTTAGAAATTATGGTGGATATGAAATATGTACAATGGTGGCATGATTGGTGGAGTAGGAGGCATTTACAATGAACTTATGGAGGTTATGGTAGGCCTGCTTTGGAAACCAGAAAGAGCTCATTCGTACGTATAGCAGAAGACAGTTCTAGGTGATGTTGTTAGTTTAATCGATCACCATAATAATTCAAGTATAATATCCCGTAACCCTCGAAGCCTCACTCACAGTGCATAATTTATCTTAGTATGCAGAAGTTGAGGTATAGACAAAAAACCTGATGTCAGAAAAAGCAGAATTACTGACAATAATCGTCTAGTATAACTTCTCGCCTCTTCAAGTATAATATAAATTTTAATTACATATCTAATCATAGCGCATAAAACTATTTACACAGGAATGAAATATCAATAAAGTATCTAGATTGTGACCAATAAGTGTCTGCTTAATCACAATGGGGCTGTTGCTTCCAGAAATGCTTTCCAGTCAATAGAATTCCATTAGTGCATACTGTTGATCTGTTAGCATAATGTTGGAGTCCACCTACAATGCATTGTACAAGCTCCTTCAGGGCAGTACTAGGGCGTTGCAGATCACTTTTCAAGATAATTTCATATTTTCAGATTTATTTTGCTTATTACTTTTGTGTGGGAGCTGTATGCCTGTAACTGTGACAGCGTAATTTTTTTGCCAGTGATATTTAATATAATCACACACTTTCTATTGAGAAAAGGTTTCGATAAATACTTGTTTACTTACAAAGACTTGTAATTTTTTCTTGTTTTATAGTTGAAGAATCATTAGACTCAAATCTGTCTGCATTGCCTTTGGTTAAACTTGAAGTGGGTGGTAAGACAAGTACTTGTGCTGCTGCGCGTTGCGTCAATCAGGCACTGCCGGCAGGATGCTTGGGCTGAGCGCGCGGACTGCTGGGTTGCTTATCACGGTGATGGAAATGCCAAAGTACGTCTAGGTGTAAATAATAATAGATTTGCAACTTACAAGTGACCCATCAGCACGGTACATGTATCTATTGCAGGATGTCAAGCTCCTACTTCTACTCTGTTTGTTTGCTATGCGCTCTGAGGTAGTTAATGGTTAAACACTGGTAAAAATCCTGTGTCGTCAAAAACCCAATTCGTCTTTTATTTCTGCACAGGGGCAAGTCGACCTGGCCCATGCCTCTGTGCTTTTCTGTCGTGTTTCGGGTGGACCTTGGATCATCTGGCGACTGCCCTCAAGTCCATGAATGGAGTGTCTGAAATGTGCTGTGGAGAGTTGCTATGTATCTTAACAAACTACAGTTCCAGTACACCCAGGTGTATTACATCTCATCATTTCTTGTGTTTGGGAGGTAATTAGCGGTGTGTTTGTTGCACTGCAGACTCTAACGAGTGGGCCGATGGCGGAGATCATTTTTTGCCTTGACGGAGATGACTTCACCACTGCACAGGAGGGAGAACTTGACATTCAGAGTGGCAGCATATCACCGTTGCACCAAAAGGTGAATGACGAGAAAATCGCCACCACGACTTTTCATCACTGCCGCTATCTTTACTGCGTCGACTAACACGTGTTTACTTCCCGATTTAGTGATGTATCGGGTCAGATCCCTCATTATGAAGTGTGCATTAAACAAGAGCGCCCAGAGCGTCTGGGCTCATCTGATTGGGTCTGTTGCTACGGTGTATAAACGTAACATTTAAGTCGATGCGTAGGATACCTTTGTTAGGTCAGAATGTGCAGATACGCAGTTGCGTACACATCATTTCAGCAACCTGCATTCTGAAATACCTCCCAACCATTGCCGTTGATATCAAATGCGTGCCTGAAACTCCTGTTTTATGGTGCATTGTGACCCCTAACCTATAAAAAAAAAAATTAATTGTAAAAAATTATGTTATTATTAAATTGTTGTAAATAAATCATGTAAATATTTGCGTTAATTGGAAAAAATAGTTAAATGAATAAAGATACAGAAAACAGCTAAATAATAAAAATCTGATGGGATTCGATACAAGACCTTGAGCCAATTATCTCCTGCTGCTGTACCCGTTGGCTATCCCAGGCTTATTGGCTTTCTAGATTATGGATGTGCCATTGAATATGAGAACACTGTGACATCATTGAGCAGTTCAGGAATCCATGTTTAACCCTTCTTTAAGGGTCAAAAGGTTATCAGAATTCACTCTTCGCACGTCATCTTCGCACGTCAGTGGAAAGCACCCATTTCATGGCCTTTCAATAAAGTGATAAAAATGGTTAGCGTCAGGCTAGAACAAAAAAGTTGTTCACTCTGTCCATTAGGCCATGTTCCTCAGAAAATGTCTGATATCTGATCTTTCCCACTGCCCTTTGCACTGTACCTCCAATTTCGCACTGGTGATGGGTTTTCTGCCATCACACTATACACCGAATATTAGAGCATACGGTCGAGCCGTTAAGATTTGTGCCGCTAATTCTTCGTATTTCCTCCTATACCTTAAGTTAAGGGGGAAATATTCCACCTCCATTTACACATCTTGACCTTTGACCCTTGACCTCCAAATTTGTCATCCTGTGTCCTTTTCAAGACCCCCCCCCCGACGTCCCGAATATCGTGACTGTACGTAGAGCATTTAAGATTTGTGCCCAACTGTTGACGGACGCACGGATGGCCGGGCGCACGGACGATCATGCGATTCTACAAGCTGCATCTGACTATGTCAGATGAGCTAAAAACACAGTCTTAAAGTGGGACGAACTTTTGTTTTTTGACAGAAATGCAGCCAAAGGTAAGAGGATGGTTGCTCGCTAGCATGGATGGCAAGAAAATTGGACTGATTCCAGCGAATTACGTTAAGGTGCTCGGGAAGCGCAAGGGAAGAAAAAATCAGCAGTCCGCAGGTGTCGCTGGCGAACGACAGGTAATTTCCACCGTTGAGAATGCGTCGCATCTTTGCCAGTGCCAAAATGGCTTTTCCCGTACATTAGACGTACATAGTTGGGTATGCAAAGCAACCCTTACTGTGGTGGGTTACATATTTGTATCGAGTGCATATTATATACACACGTCACAGCAGTAGATTGACCCAGCCCGGCCAGGCTGCGAGACTAACGCCAATATGGTCTCCATGTATGACCGCTTCTTGGAGCTGAGCTTTACGTGAAAATTCTTTATCCAAATTAAATCTGTATGCGCAAATGTCTAGTTAATGATAAATTAAAAGAAATGTTTCTTTGAGATTTTTAGAAAGCTCGATTACATACCATAACCTAGACCAGTTTGATTCTATATACCCCCTACCAGTGTCGCACTGGCGTGTTTTAGTCGTGCACCTCGTTCGTGTGTTTGTAGCTGACAGCACCGACTGCCACCGTCGCTGATCAGCAAGTCGGCACCTCCCCCCAGACTTCCAGCACGGTCGACATGGACGATATTTTCGAGAATCCGTCTCCAGAGAGCGAGCAAAGCGGTAACGGAAGTGCGCCACTGCCCGCGCCCACTGTATTGAACACCACACTCGAAGGCATCGCTGATGCTTCCACAGTTTCGCTAGCTGCAGATATCCTGGACAGTAAGGAAAAGGAGTTGACTTCTTAGATAGATCGACGAGTCATTCCTCAGCACCCAGTCAGGATGGTTCCTAAAAATGTGATACGTGTAATAACTTGCTAGAATTAAATTATATTATACGTGATTGGTTGCTAACATATATTGACACAATAATTAACACATTCGTGTTATAATAATGAAGAATCCAACACTGTTCAAAATATTCAGTGCTTAAACTGGTAAGTGAATATAGATAATAAACAACGGGGTTTGGCCAAGTTTTACAAAATTTCATTTGTAACTCAGTATTTTAGTCATTATATTTAAATATTTATCACATAATCCATTAATTATAATATCTCCATCTGCCATATTATATGGATCTTAATTATCCATAAAATTGTGAATAATATGCAAATAATACTTGTTAACTGTAAATTTTGTAAATAAATCCCACGTCTTGCCTATCATTTTAAATCTTGTGTATTTATATTAACCAAATGAAACATAAGAATTGAAGTACTCTACAAGTGCTGCAGTGTGACAGGGCTCATCTGGTGTCTGGTGTTCTGCTGATAAATTCATTTGTGCATAGCAAGACGTCTTATACATAAGTCTTCTTTATTCTTGTTTGACTTTCGTAGCTAATTTGAACAAATATATCAGCTACACTTTCGCACCCACCTAATCTCTATGCATTGCAGACACATGTGCATTGCAGGTTGGCAGGCAACAATTATGATTAGAAGCGGGGCAGCCCATGTGTTTTTGCCTACCCACACGAGCATTCACTGATTCAGCCTTCAGGGTGCTATAGACAGACTGCTTTAGAAAATAATGATTTAAGGAGTGTAAATCTTGTTCAACAAACATTTGCCTTTGCAATTAAACTGTGCAACTGTAGCCTCACATTCACACAGGTATGGGCTCCAATAATAGCAAAAGCAGTTCAGTCCTTTGTTAACAGTGAACAAATCAATGTTTAACCCTCCTCTTGAGGGTCAAAAGGTTATCCGACACTTACTCTTCGCATGTCAGCGGAAAGTACATTTCATGGTCCTTTCAATAAAGCCATAAAAATGGTAGGTCACCGCTGAAACAAAAAAGTTTTTCAATCGCTCCGTCAGACCATGTCCTCAGAAAATGTGTCTAAAATCTGCCCTGTGTCCCATTGACCTTTGACCTCCAATTTCGGCACAGTGATGGCTTTTCCTACCATGATGCTATACACCAACTATCACGAGCCTAGGTCGAGCCGTTTAGATTTGTGCCGCAATTCTGCATTTCCTCCCTATACCTTAATAAGGAGGGAATGTTCCCTTCTTATACACCTCTTGACCTTTGACCTTTGACCCCCAGCTTCGACATCCCAACTCGTTTTCGGATTTACCTCCCCCCCCACATCCCGAATATCGTGACCGTACGTCGAGCGGTTAAGATTTGTGCCCAACTGTTGACGGACGGACGGACGGACGGACAATCATGCGATTCTACAAGCTGCACCTGAGACTATGTCAGATGAGCAAAAAATGTAGCAATCCAAGGAGCCAATGAAATTCTTATGTGATAAAACACGAAATTTTTCATTTAAATTGTGATGAAAAATATCTATAAATAAAATATTGATCAAAATGGTACAAAAATACATTGTCAACAGATGTTTTTGATCGACAAGTTCATGATTTTATTTTTTAACACAGCAATACGTAACCTGCACATGCGTTGGCACTATTGAGTACCGATCCAAACAATACGTTCCCTATATATTAGTCCGTTTATAGTATACGGCAGTAAACGGGGTGTAATTGCAGTAAAATTTTCGTGATATAAATATCCGTATCTCGTATCTAAAAAGCTGTTACATAAGGTGATTGCTTTCATAAAAGCCGCAACACTGCCATCAATTGTGTCCATGTCAGAACTACACGTTTTCACGATGCACAAGTTGTCTCAGTGAAATAGCATTAGCATTAGGCACAAATATAATCTTCACAACTGATGAGCTTGTACAATGATCCGTGGACTGTTCGTGATGCTATGAAAAGTTGAAGGACATGTGGCTAAAGATGGTTGAACATGGCATGCCATCTGATTGGAACAGATTAATTTACTAAATATTGTTAACAATAACAGTAGACCAGTGTCCAGTAAGAGAAACATCTTGAAATGTACAAGAAAATAAACCCAAATACAAATAACAAATATATATAGCGCGTGAACTATATATATACTGTACTTTAAAATTTGACTTTTTTGTAATTCGTTTTTAATACTTGTTTAAATAATAAGGCGATGTCATGTATGTTCGATGCATGAACAGTCATATTTTTACAGGCATCAAAACAATTGAACCAGTCGTTACTTCTGGTTCACGCACACAATGTCAGTTAGTAACAGACGTCTCCCTTGAAGGGTTCCACAAAACAACCTACATATCATATACCTTTGAAATCATGTATTTTGTACCTAAAGAGAAGAGCATTTAGCTTCTACATTTTAGACGTACGTATTAGTTTCAACAAATAAGCCTCTCGTTTCATTACAGTCATACTTACACTATCTACCACATAAACCCATCAACGCCACTTTAACGGCCTAAATATGTTGTCAGGCAATACGGATTTATTTACATATCACCGTACATGACAGCTTTGGTCGGTGACAATAATTATATACAACACACGTGGGCATATGTATGTATCCCAGTGGCCACCCGACCTGCTTTATCGACACAGAAGAGAGAGCTCTAAAATCACACAGCCTCTACGATTTCCGGGGCCGCATTATATCATTCCTATATCTCCGCATGGCAGAAGTTTTTCCCCTTTTTCTACACACAACCGACCGACAAGTTTACGCATGGAGAGTTCACACTGACATCTATAACTTGCTCCGTACACAAGCTGCAACACATATCCCGGGACCAGACGACATAGGACAGAACGCGACGCTAAAGACTCGTCATTGTCCACGACATATTGCACAAGTACAGACCTTACATGACTCCCGCTGACCCCATCGTCGGTTCACGAAACTTCTCTGTTCACACATACCGCACGTGCCGTAACGACAATATTGCAGAGAGGGTCTATGTCCCCCAGGGTACTGCCGGAACGTACCCTGGGTACGGTCCGGTATACCGGAACGTACCCTGGTCACTATTTGATATGGTTAGGGGTAGGATTAGGGTTAGGGTTAGGGTTAGGGTTAGGGTTAGGGTTAGGATTAGGGTTAAGGATCGGGTTCGGGTTAGGGAGTAGGCGTAGGGGACTCCCTAGACTCGTTAGTGGAGTAGACGAGGTACGGTTCAGCATATTAGATAGTACCAGGGTACGTTCCGGTATACCGGACCGTACCCAGGGTACGTCCCGGCAGTACCCAGGGGGACATAGACCCTCTCAGCGACAATATTGACATAAATCCGGACACGCTAGAAGCGTCGGTGCTTTCATACGGGCACTAGTAGCACGTGGCTTCATCTCTGCCCGTCGTCTACATTTCTAAATGGCTGGAATTTGACATTCAGGCCACCGTAAGAACATTAAGATCTCATCTGTGCGTTAACCAGTTAATCTTTACAGATGGTTATAAGTGGGAGCAAGTCAGTAGAACCGACTGGCAACTGGGCGAGGATGACGAAGCTGTTACGAAGGAAATTACACCACAAATTCGGGAGTCTTACAAACACCAAAAACAACTGGAAAATAAAATGTCCCACTAAACCTGTATAAGTATTATGATATCGTGTAAGGGGCCAGACAGGATTAACTGCATGGCCCACGGCTGGATCAACGTGGATGAACTGGCGACGCGTATGCAATGTGAAAGGGCAGTGGATATAACGTACTGAGGAATCATATTATCAGGAGTAAGATAATATAGGGAGTAAGATAATATCCTATATTATCTTACTACTGATATTATCATACACACACCGTATCCCTGAGAGCTGCATCTCAACCACATCAAACACCATACCGAAGCATTGCTGTCACTTTTCTTTCAGTCCAAACCTCACGTCAAATAACCACTACTGTGAGCGGTTTTCTTACATATGAATCATGGCTAGCGCACCTGTAAAATCACACGTCTCAGCTAATTAGACGATTACCCAGACTGGTACTGAGCCACTTGACGCACGTAGCTTTAAACTTTTCTGATTATGGTCTGTGATGGAACGTACAATGGTGGCTTTCATGGAACTGGTAATTTTGTGTTATATTTGACATTACTTGGTCAGACAGAAACAACTCTGACCACAATGCTAATAACAAAACTTGAAAATATGTTTTTGTTCCCCATTTCCACTAGTCCATGCATATTATAACCTTCCTCAGTATCACCATTATGATGATAAATACAAGATGATCAGTAATTAACACTTTCATACCAATACACTTTTCGAATTAAGCCAACTTAAACCAGCAAAATAATTGTGATTTCTCAGCCAGAATTATGTACTTATCTATCAGACATGGGTTTTCATCACTATAATACTGAATGTACATGCATTATCCACCATTCACCAACAGACAAAATCACATTTTACTTGGCCATCGTGTTTTAAAACACCTGTTGACATCGCAGATGTGCGCATGGCAACTAGCTTCGTTTTTCATCACAAACATTCACTAGCCTACCACAAAATGCTTCACATGCAAAACGAACAAAATGGACTTAAATTTGTCTATTCACATTTCACACTCAAAATACCTTCCGTTGGATGGTTACTGCGGACAATGCACATACACAGCCACTCCTTTTAAAAGCCATGCATAATTATGTGGGCTTCACACAGACGTGAAATAACAACTCACTAGCTGGGTTTTTTCCCACATGGACATTAAAACGAAATCACTGATGTGACTATCGATCGCCAATAAGGTAATCAGAGTTTAATTAATATACATCTTTATTTCAACAAACTATATACCAAGGAAAAGTTCCACCGGGAAATTCACGTTTAAACACCACTTTGAGATATATATATTATATATATATATTATATATATTATACTATATGAGATATTCAAAGTGGTGTTTTTAACGTTGGAATTTCCAGGTGAAATTTTATATATATATATATATATATGTGTGTGTGTGGAATAACCGTTTGGATGTCATCTCTACGATCTTCAGCCAATGTATACCAAAAGAGGCCAGGTAAAATTTCTAGACTGCACTGCACAGAGAGCCACTTGATCCCATTCCAAAGAGAGAGACAGAAAGAGAAAGTCAATGAATGCATATAGATCATGCTACCATCATTGCCATAGATTTGTCGAGAGAGTTTGGCCTCCAGAGGGCATTGCGTTCCATTGCGGTGCATTGTTCATGATATTAGCCTCTACATTGGGGTTTGCCATTTTTATACCAGCCAGCTGCTGTTGCACCTGCATAGAAAATAACCATAAATTATTTAGCTGCCGACATTATATCCTAGCATGCATTCAATCAGAAGCTCACACACACTAGTTCATCTCAGAATGTATCTTGCAACTAGAACGAACTGTATATTCTGAGTTCATTTGATTTTATCTTTGGACTTAATTTAACTGGTTTACGATGTGCAATTTCGTACTTGACCATACCTGCTGCAGATGCTGTTGCTGTTGTTGTTGTTGTTGTTGGTGTTGTTGCTGCTGCTGCTGCTGTTGGAACTGATTGCCATACATCGATGGTGCCACACCTCCCATAGCCATCTGTTGTCCCATCACACCTTGCATGCCCATATTAGCTTGCTGAAAATTATGAGTGCAGAGGTGGAAGGCAGACCAAGCTTGATCAACAGAATTTCTTCCCCGACAGACCGCATATCCTATGCATGAAAATTTCTTTGCGTAATGCATGTATATACTTCATAAACAGTATATTTTATAAGAAAGAGAGATTTAAAAAAAACTGATTTACAGCCACAATGAGAATTGTACTTTGGCATCCTTAGAGCTAAGATGCACTGTAGTGTATATAACTGGTACTACGCAGCACCCACCATCTTTATTTAGCAGCCATCAAAATTAACAAAATACACAAGAAGCCTCCATCAATAACTGACAGACATTCCTACTTGTCATTTCCACATTTTAATGGTACTAGTATTTAGCATTATAAAATGATTGAAATCTTACAGGAGCTGGAGCCATCTGAGGAGCTCCATTCGGGTACCCTACCGCCATCTGTTGGGGAGAAACATACATGCCACCTGAAAAGGCAAAAACCAACCATTATCAGTTTATATTTTAATAAGCACTTTAGAACCTGTAGGGACTCATCAAGAATCAGAAGAAATCATAAATACAAAGACAAATTAGGCATCCTGTTCTAGCAACCATCACAGAGTCACATTTTATCAAAATAATGCACCTATTTTTAAACAGAATGTGCGACTGTGGTTTTTCTTTATAAACTGGCACTAAAAATACCCAGTATTCATGTCCAATACTCAGAGTGCTTCTCAAATTGCATGATTTCCCCATCTTCTTCAACACACTAATAACCAGCCACACCAGAACTTTAGGAAACATAATTACTTGCTGGCATTCTCAGAAAAATCAATTTGCCTAAAAATTCTAGAAGAATGCATTCGAGCAAACAGGTTTGCTTGCAAGTGAGATGCATCAAACGACTTATTCATAACCTCTGGTTACCTCACAATGCGTACAAAATACCTCAAAGACCCAATTTGGTCAGTGCAAGGCACAAGTAAATACTCCTAAGAACAATATAATCATGTCCTTTTGCATTAACAGATTTGTTTGCTCCTTTTAATGAAAGATCAAGCGATCAAGAATGTACAGATAAAGAACCTGCCCTATCTTATAATAGTAACAACATGAGTAAAAAATCAAACAGAAAGTTACAGAAACGTGAAACAGAAGTGTACACAAGAGCAAAATTCCGCCATGTTGCAATTTACGCATTCTGATTCACTCTAATAATTCCCACGCATCCATAATGCAGGTGTACAATATATATTCTAGAACAAAACACTCACAATCAAGAGGCTTCTCGTTAAAATGGTAATGACTGATGACGATTAAGAAGTGAAATGCTAAGGGCCTTGTTCGACCATATGAAAAAAAAGAGCAAAAGCAAATCCACTTCACGACGTCTATGAAGGCAGAAATACTTTCTTCCTCTGAGAGGAAGCAAACACCATCTGATCTCACACTGGCAATGTGCTCACCGGATTATATACTACTAAAACCTACAGTGTAAGGAACCTACACACGAACGCATTAGTGAATCATAATGTAAAACCCACCACCAACAAAATTGCTACGAGCTCTACGTAACGAATACTAAAATGAACTGCCACCTTTTTAATAGCACTTACTAAACAGGTGCAGAGTTTACCGTAATAAAGGCAAACTATTGCCTTATGCATAATTTGCACAGTGTGAGGTGAGATGATGCCACCTATTTCTGATTCATACCCAGTGCTACTTGGGGATCAGTTGGAAAATGACTGTTTGATGGAGGCTGGGCCGTCATGCCTGCAAAATCTGTAAAGCTTGCCACTGGCTGCTGTTGCCCAGGGTAGAACGATCCTACTGGAAATGTGTAAGTGAATACACTCAACTCACCCAATGGAATTTATTTTCAGAACTAATTCGCAACGCCTAAGTGAAAACGTATCCTTAAAATGTGCTCTGCCAAAAGGCGAGCATTTACTTGCATACTAGCTTACACTTGCATAGACTTCGTCCCTGTGTTGTCTTTTGATTGAAATTCATAATTAAATTAAATGTTAGTTACATAAAATAGCATGCCACCAAAAACTCGAGATCTAAGAATTATTAGTAAAACTGCTCAAATTACCACAACTACCTAATGTTATTTCACAAAGTACAAAATAAAAAAAGTAGGCACTTAAATGTATTACGGTGCAGTTTTGTGGCATAGGATACAACAAACAATCCACTGATGGCCATACCAGGTACTCCGTAGGTCTGAGGTTGAGTGTAGGAGTTGTTTCCATACAGTGACAAAATGGAATCTTTGGTTGACTGGGATTTATCAATGTTTTGTTGAACTACCTGCTGGCCTTCTGACCCAAACAACGATTCGAGGTCATTGTGGCTCGATGCCTGAAAGCAATGAGAGAAAACAATGGCATTTGGGTGGCAACATTTTGCACACACTACAATGAGCCACGGTTTCAACGACTACACTACATAAATACTATATAAAGTTTTTTGTACCCAAGCTATAGGATAGCAAGAAAGCTACGGGGGAAAAACAAAATGGATTGTGCCCAAGTTATAGAAAAACAAGAAAACCATAACCAAACAAGTGCCGCGGAGCGACAGCGCTCATCTAACGTCTACTGCGGTGACTCTGTGGTGGAGTGGTGGGATTCTAGTAAACCCTGTTAGTCCCAAATGTGTTCACATACACGCCGAAACAGTGGAATGCACAGGGATGGTATCAGGAACCTTCTCAAACGAATGTTCGTTGGGATCGTTATGAAAGTTGCCACGAGATGGCGCGTACGTTTAAGTGTCTTCAGATTAAAGATGGAAGCTCCCATCATACGTAGTAGCAACAACTATTTGCAAGACAGAATAGGTAAGCACTCATCCATTTACCTACGCAAGCCTACAGGCTGCAATAGAGAGCTGCCACCTGTAACCAATTAACGCAGGCAAAAACTACACAGTACCACCAACACATGCACTGGCAGTAGCCACTGGCAGTGGCATACGTTACATGTAACATACTGACAGTACAGAATGCCATATAAATTATACGATTTAAGGAGCATAAACCTTCTTTAACCAAATTTAGCTTTTGAAATTTCACTGTGACATTGTAGCCTCATACATCCAGGCATGTATAGATTCTACTAGCAAACCCGGCAGTCAAATTCTTTCTAACAGACAGTCAACAAATCCATGTTTAACCCTCCTCTTGAGGGTCAAAAGGTTATCTGACACTTACTCTTCGCATGTCAGCAGAAAGTAGATTTCATGGTCCTTTCAATAATGCCATAAAAATGCTAGGTCACCGCTGAAACAAAAAAGTTTTTCAATCGCTCCGTCAGACCATGTGCTCAGAAAATGTCTAAAATCTGCCCTGTGCCCATTGACCTTTGACCTGTGACCTCCAATTTCGGCACAGTGATGGCTTTTCCTACCATGATGCTATACACCAACTATCACAAGCCTAGGTCGAGCCGTTTAGATTTGTGCCGCAATTCTGCATTTCCTCCCTATACCTTAAGTTAAGGAGTGAATGTTCCCCCTTCTTTTACACCTCTTGACCTTTGACCTTTGACCCCCAGCTTCGACATCCCAACTCGTTTTCGGATTACCCCCCCACGTCCCGAATATCGTGACCGTACGTCGAGCGGTTAAGATTTGTGCCCAACTGTTGACGGACGGACGGACGCTCGCACGGACGGACGGACGATCATGCGATTCTACAAGCTGCATCTGACTATGTCAGATGAGCTAAAAACAAACCAATATTTGTCGCTAAATATGTTACATCAGTGAATTTACAGCAATATATACATGAGGAGTTAACAATGGGATTATAAATGGTGACGAAATACAACAAGAAGGCTATGTTATAATAATCTTTCACAATACATGTATGACTCACCTTAGGTTTATCCAGTGCAGATGTGTTTGTAAGTGTGTTGTTTTGTACTTCCGCAATTGCAGGAGCACCAAGAAATCCGCCAAACAAATCATCACTGTTGTCCAGCTTAGGGCTGGGATCATCTGTACAATAACAGCAAAACGATACACAGAGATAAGTGTTTACAAGTAATGAATGCTAAAATGCAAGCACTACGGTACAGCGTACCACTTTACACCGTACTTTCCCAATGCACTGTGCTTCGTAACACGTAACCAGTAACATGTAATGTGAACTTTTGATGCGCATTGCTCATCTAATTATTTCTCTCAATAATACCTCTGATTACACATTTATTCATACCTTCCTCATAGCCGCGCAATACCGACCGGGGGGAAAATAACTTTTTTTTTCACGGGAGCTCTTTTTCAAAAGTCTGTGTGAAAATAGCTCTCGTCAAAAATTTTACGGGAGCTATTTTGAGCCTCACGGGAGCGATTTCTGAGGTTTGAAGAGCGAATCGCTCATCGCTCCCGTGTATTTTTTACCCTGATGCCGACGAATGAATATTATATCGTTACCGAGGCCTAGCAGATCTGCACTGTTGTTCTCCTTGTTTACTGACGCTGCGGTCGGCATCTTCAATGACTCGTTGTCAGAGCTACTCGCTCTCTGCCGCGACTTGGCCACAAGGGATGGCTAGATTCGACATAGAAAAACACAATCGCATAAAGCAGCATGCGTAAGGTTAAATGATTACAGCTCACAAGACCAGGGTTCGAATTTTGGCTGAAAATCCAAGGTCCGCTTATTTACTAGCAGTGAGTAACAAAATAGTATACAAAAATAACCATTGGTATTAACAGCATGCATGTAACTTAGAGTTGGTCTAATAATATATCTCAAGCTCTAGGAATGTTGGGGGAGCTTGTGGAAAAGGTTTTACTTTCGTTTTTCTCCTCCCCAGTCCACGGTACCCCCATGCATAGATCAAAGTTACAAGTACCTATAGAATCTTGATACAGTTTACATTGCTTCTAGATATAAATAAAAATAGTCCACTTTCTACCTAAAGAAAAGTGACGAATTCAGTTAACAGCTTTGATTTATACATGCGTGTCAGGTATCACTGGTCGTGCCCTCACTCTCCACGATAACCCCTGCGACATATGAACTTATTGTTATGTGGTCATAAAAACACTGGGGTCATGCCGCAATCGATTTCTTAAACTGTCACGAGGTTTTGTTCGTGTGGCGAATCATGCGTTGAGGGAGATCATGCCCTCGACTCTAGATGTTTTGGATACCCCATCTTCGCTTAGGAACGGAGCGTATTAGAATGCGCTCCCGTTTACAAGTCTGTCTAAACAGCCGTTGCGATAACCGTAGTATTTCAGCGTAATATGAGGGAAAAAAGTGCCGGTCAGGAGGACCGGCAGTTTCGTAGAGATGGTGGCCGAAGCAAAAACTTTGGTGGCCTCGGGCCTCCAGGTCGGCACCATTTTCGAACGCTGCACAAGACACAGACTTGACGCATCAACAGTGCGTGAAATTAGCGCTGTTTTGCCGGCGGCCGCCGGTTCAACCCCCCATATAATCCGTCCACTTGGCCTATTCAAAAATTTGCCTATCTTGCCTTTATAATTATATCAACAATATTTACCAATTTCCTGACTACTAAGAAATAAATCATGCTTCAGCAATTCCTGTCAAACAAGTAGAACTCCACTTCTTCTTCTTCTTCTCGGGTCACTACACTACACTCGGCCCAGCCCTGCAGCACACAGGACTTGGCACGGTGGTTGAAAGCCTCAAGGTCTCCAGGGCTACATGGCTCTGGCAATAAGGGCCATTTCAGGAGATGTCCCATAGTCTGGTCCTCCCCGCAGTCGCATTCGATTGGACCATCTTCAGTGTATCCCCATTTCTGCATGAGTGCCCTACATCGACCAAAACCTGTCCTGAGGCGATTTATATACCCGTCTTCGATGTACCGGGTAAGGTAAGTGAGTTGGCTGTA